TTTGCCTCTCCAGAAACCTCTCACTGCCAGTTGTTCTTCTCCCTGGCCGAGGGAACACTTGGAAACTTCATGTCTGGTCCCTGGATGGGACGCGGAGGTTCTAAGTGACCTACCTCAAGAGGTAGTTGACACCATCACTTCAGCGAGAGCACCGTCTACGAGACACGCCTACGCTTTGAAGTGGAACCTGTTCATTGAGTGGTGTTCTTCTCACCGAGAAGACTCCCGAATATGCCTGATCAGAGTCGTGCTGTCCTTTTTGCAGCAAGGGTTGGAGCGAAGGCTGTCTCGCTCCACCCTCAAAGTTTATGTCGCCGCAATCGCTGCTAACCACGACCCCGTAGAAGGGAAGTAGCTGGGGAAGCATGACCTGGTCATGACGTCTCCGTTCCCTCCTTCAGGGAACGAGGGTTACCATATGTAACCGAGACGTTACTACAACTACAGTGATGAATAATGTATGAAAGGATAAAAAATAAATAATAAATAAAATTGCAAAATAATTGCTACAAGGTGATCAGCAAATAAATAAATAAGTGGACATATTGATTTATTCTATTAAATATTGATTTTGAATGATCTTACCCAAATATTATCTTAAATATTCTACTAAAAAAAAAATATTGCAGAGATGTAAGGCCTGCAATACCTACACTTCCAATCTTTGCACTTGACTACTTGTCTAATTATTGTACATGACTGTATTTCCTGTATTTGCCCCAAGTGTTCAAGTGGGCATGATAACCACAACCATGTGTACAACTTTTGATTACCCAGTTCAAATTTTTTAAATTTTTTACAGAGATTTTGTTATGCATTTTGATTGTCAGCACTTTTTTTTTTGACTGTCAGCACCTTAAAAAAAAAAAAACATTCTAAATATCTGTTTAGTAGTTCCTATGTGACAGGCAACACAATTTAATTGTGGCACTTCTAATTAAAGTGATAACATATATAACAAGTATAACCAGGGCCGGCCCGTGGCATAGGCGGAATAGACAAATGCTAGGGACGTAAAAAGTTTTTTTTTTCTTTTTTTTTTTTATTACCAATACTATGATTTTAAAATATTACAAAAAACCGATCGTCCCACAAAAACATAACTATTTTATTGCTCTCCCGACTCACACCGGTTCGATGCCTGATGAATCTTCCCCCGCACAGCCGCACTTCTACATACATCAGTTACCTGATTGTGATAGATGTTCACTAATAAATTACTACTATGTCAAAAAGACCAAAGCCCTCTGATGGCCAGGGAAGAAAAAAAAAAGAAAGAAAAGAAGACGAAAAAAAACAGGACAAAGATAGAGGAAATGTGATGTAATAAATGACGATCATATAAATAAACTAGATGAGGTAAAAGTTTGTGAATAAACTTTATAGAAAGCCTAGTCTAAAAGTTTAAAAAAAGGTCTGGAGTTCCAGAGATCCGAGATTTTTCGTGTCACATGATAACACGTTTTAATAATATTTTTATGCTATAGTTGTGTAGTATTTGGGTATTTATTGTATTTTTAATTTGAATTGGCTAATTTAGTAATGTTTGTGTATAACTGGGCTTAAATGTATTGTACATTGTTAGTTCAAGTTAGTTAATACATTCACTAATGTTAAAAAATTATACCTTATTGTAAGTGTTACCGTTTCACTATCATCAGCTTTTTTTAATAAGTGTTTTAATGTAACACCCAATAGTCACATATACTCCTACATTTCTCTCTTCATATGCACTTTTGAAATATCTAGCCATGCAGTTTCTGTGTGAATGTTTAAACAATGATTATTGGTGGAATGGGCTGCGAGGCAAGGGGCACCAGGTAAAATCTTGCCTAGGGCAGCAAATTGGCCAGGGTCAGCCCTGAGTATAACAAAATACACAGACTCATCTCTACTCCAATACAATATGCAACACTTTACATTTTACTACCAATAATATCTAATTAATTTAACGTACACTAGAAAGGTTTCCTCAAAATCGTGCACTTTTGGGAAATATGATTTCCTGAACATGATAAATGATTTGATACGCTTAGCCTCAAATATTGCTCTGAATTGTGGATAGGCTGGAAACAACAGTTTGAAATTAAAAATGTCTAAATGATGGGTTTATTTATTTATTTTTAGGCAATCAACTTTTTACTTTACAACACAGCTTTTAGCAGCTGTATGAACTGTATGACGGCACCCATTCACTGCAGAAGATCCATTGGTAAGCAAGTTATGTAATGGGTAACACTAATAAGTATACAATAATAAATTAACAAACTATTGTTTTATAGTTTATTCATAGTTTATAAACCGTAATTAATACATTAATAGACTCTATACAAATAGTAAGTTCGGTCACACTTTATTTTAAGGTCCAATTCCCATCATTAACAAACCATGAACTATGGTACCTAATTTGCTGCTTTTTAGGGTAACACTTTATTTTAAGGTGTCCTTGTTAGACCTGTTACATGTACTTATTATTATAATAACAATAAATTATGCATAATTACATGCAAGTAACCCTAAACCAAACCCCAATCCTAACCCTAACCATATAGTAAGTACATGTAGTTAATTAATTACTCTAAAAAATGCTGGGTTAAATACAACCCCGCACTGGGTAAAATATGGACAAACCCAGCGATTGGGTTTAAATGTTTAACCCAGCCTTCTGGGTAGTAACCCAAATGCTGGGTCAAAACAACCCAATCGCTGGGTTTGTCCATATTTTACCCAACACAGGGTTGTATTTAACCCAGCATTTTTTTTAAATGTATATAATTACACTATAACAAGGACACCTTAAAATAAAGTGTAACCATAGTTAGTAAGGTAGTTAAGTTTAGGTATTGGGTAGGATTGGGGATGTAGAATATGGTCATGCAGAGTATGTGCTTTATAAGTACTAATAAATAGCAAATATGTTAGTAATACACTCTAAAAAATGCTGGGTTAAATACAATCCTGGATAAAATAGGGACAAACCCAGCATTTGGGTTGTTTTGACCCAGTGGTTGGGTTACTACCCAGAAGGTTGGGTTACATTTAACCCAACCGCTGGGTCAAAACAGCCCAATTGCTGGATTTGTCCCTATTTTACCCAGCACTGGGTTGTATTTAACCCAGCATTTTTTTGAGTGTAGGCATGCTAATAAGCAAATAGTTAATAGTGAGGATTGGTCCCTATATTAAAGTGCTACCGTAAGTTCTTCATGTATTATCACTGTAATTAACAAAATTATTATTATTAATTTGCTTATTATTAAAAGTAAAAGAATTGTTAATTGCTAATAAAGAGTGAGTAGTTCTCATTTTAGATTAGGTCACGGAAAATGGGAAATTACTGTGCTATAAACCAAATTAAAGTGCTATAAACCAAGCTTTATTGAACATTAGTTGCATTCATATTCAATGTCCCTTAAAATGTTTACAAATTCATTTAGGACCCACACACATTTGCATATGTGGTTTACAGGGACTCTTCATATGTGTCTTTATACAGTACAAACTGTATACAACTTTCTGTTATGGGTAGGTTTAGGGTTAAGGGACATAATATACAGTTTATAAACTGTAAAAACCATTATGTACATACTGTACTGTATGTAAAAGTAGCTAAAGGTTGGTGTACAGCACTTAATCAATGACATTTTCCCATTTTCCATGACCTCATCTAAATGTACAACTATTTATGGTTAATAAGTTGTTAACAAAGCATTATCGAACTCTTTACATATGAACTCATTTAAAAATAATAATTTGGTTAATTACAGTGACGATGCATGAAGAACTCACTATTTGTAAAGATTCTATTAATGAATTAACTACAGTTTATAAACCATGAATTAACTATATAATAGTTGGCAAATAATCTTTAAGTATAGGCTAATTTATTAGTGTATACTTATTATAAAGTGTAACCACGTAAATCCAAATTTCCTCAAATCTGCACCGATTAAGAAACGAACACATCTAGCCTACGTCTTGGTCCCAGGGAGTACAGCAAATGTTCATTCTTGGGCCAACTATTCCTTTATTAACTAAATAATGTAAAATGTAATAAAACAGGTGCAGAACTGATTGCTGCTGCGGTCTGTTTTCACTCTGTTTTTACAAGTGACTAGTATTTACTTAAATGATAAAAGCATAATAGCAACAAAATACATCTGCTGACTTAATTGACATTCATCTTATCTCTGATCTTTCTCATTTGTGCACTAGTGTCTTGTCATAAATCCCAGCTTGTAAAACCACTACTGCAGAAAAAAAAAAACTACTCCAGCCATCCAGCCAATGGAGGACGGCGGGGCGGAGAACGCTCTGCAATTGAACTAAAGGACCGCAGGCAGCTGTACACGAGCATCCTCTATTCTACACACGTGCCCACATCATACAGTCAATGGATTACACCTTCTCTCTCCAAGTGCAACACCATCTGACCGTATACCCGTCACACTTATACGAGGACTACAGCTTAGAGTTACAGGTATGTTTATAAAAACGAAGTCAAAGTATGTGCTAGTTTGTTTAGCGGTGATACGCGCGGCTCCAAACTAACCCTTCTCTCGATACTGTTGGAGATACTTGTTAAACACATTAACAGCATTAGTAGACCGGATACCTCGTACTCTAAAATGAATTGGCGGCGTTACACTTTCTCTGATTTCTTGACGCTGTGACGCACGAAAGCCAGTTGTAGCGCGAATTCGATGAATGTGTTGCGTGCTGTGATGTTTACATGATAAGGGACACAGGAACAGTAAATACACTTCATAGTATCATACCTGGCGTTTAATTTGAGAGACCTCATCAGTATCCTTTTCTTAAGCTTTTTGTTTTACCAAGAAGCAGTGATGACCCCAAAAAGGTACATTTCTGTGGCACGAGGCAGTGTTGACAGATTGCTCTCGGTTTCGTCAATCTCACAGCTGTTTCATTTACTGCAAACGATCAATTATGTATCACTGTACAGTCCTGAGAACCCCGTCGATGCGGACAGTGTCAGTTTTCAGTCAAGTGCAATCTTCGTTTTCACCTGTTGTGATCTGTGTAATTTACCGAGACAGTTTGATTGTAGTAGTGTCAACTCTTGAATATATGAGGATTTAATGTAGTGCCTTGGGCAATTGTGGGATTATTACCTGTCCTTTATCTAGCCAAGAGAACGACCAATTGATTTAGATTTATACAATTTGCAGTCTTATGTACTAGGAGACATGTTAAAACAATTCTGCAAAGCAAATTAGTTTAGTTTTGTGCATGTAGGCTTTTTTTTTTTTTAGAATCCTTGTTGATTGAATGATCTTACTTAAGCAGGTTTTCTTTACATTTAGGGTACAGGTTGTTCTGTACTGTACATTGAATAAATAAAGAAAAGAAGCAGAATGTTTTATAAACTTTTTCATTTTTACAGTCTTTGTAAGTTTAGTAGACACTCCATAAAGCACTATTGCCCACATAAGTAATCTTAAGTTATTTTAATGGATGTTTTTTTCATAATATTTTATTAACAGTTTTAACAATATTAACAGTTATTTTCCTGTTCATTACTATAAAGATGCTTTGAAAGAGTGTGTATATAATGCATCATATAAATAAATGTGACTTGACTTGCTTTGAGGAACTGAAGAACAACCATTGGTGTTTGTTTTATTTTTCTAGTCATTGTTATTAACTTAAATAATGCATTAAGCATTTTCTTATATAAGTATTTAACCATATGTTTTTGTACATTAAGTCTTTGAAATGAGACTGTCCCTTTAAAGCTTCTCCTCCAGGTGCTGCTTAGATCATCTTTGTGCGGAACAATGGTACCATTAATATTCTCTTTCATATTCCTTGGAGTGCAAATACGTGACACAAAAGCAGATGTCTTTTTCGTAATAAGTGGCTTACCTTTTCTTTAACCCTGGATATGTACTTTGTCCGCTACACATGACATTTGCTGTAGTTAGTGAAGAGCCAAATCTCATTCCTTTAGTTTGAACTTGTCTATTTGTCTGTATTAAATTCTATAATTATCATTTAGGATTAGAGATGAGAAATACATTATACATTAAGTTTTCATTTTTAGCCATTCATTAGTGTACTGTCTAACAAGCTGGGCTAATAAACAGTTGTAAGGAGAGAGCAGAGAGAGAGAGTAAGATGTGAATTATTGATGTTTTCTTGACACTCTTTTTCTGTGCAGAGAAAAGAGGCTCATCTTTAATTTTTGTTATTATGGCATGTTTACGAATTAGCAGTCTCTGCCTGCCAGCTAGCCAGTGGAAAACAGTATAAGGGGAGAGGAATGCCAGATACAACAGCATCACTCTTATTGCATTCATTCATTATAGATAGATGCATCATAGTCCGAACCGTCCCGCTGTAGTGTGGTTTTCAGTGATAAGGGAGTAGAACAACTTCAAAGTTTGCTCATTTGAACATTATTTCCCGTCAGCATTCACACGTGAGCCTCCCTGCCTCATGCAATGTTTTTAAAATCAAGCCATTTTCTCAGTATTAGGGGCAATGAAATTGCACAGCGGTGGGTGGTTGGTTTGTTTTAAACTGTCAGAGAAAATCATCCGTGCACCACAAGGTGGCTCTGTTAGTGTAGAATCACCTCAGAATTTCCTCTGGTTGGACCTTTTTTTTTCAAGACTCCTGTGCAAAGCCTGCCATACTTACAGTTGCACATTCTGTTGAGGTTCATCTTTGTGGACTGTCCTATCCACAGCAATGGAGAGCCTTAATAACATCCGAATTTGTGATAAAATCTGAATAATTGAATTTCAAAAGAGCCGTTGTTTAGATTATGATGTAAATCTTAGCATATATAATTTGTAATAACGAGCAGTTGAACTCTTTGAGACATACCTTTAAAAAAGTTATATTCTAACATGAAAAGAGAAGAAGAATCTTCTGTCTCCATAATCAGAGCAACCTAATTCGTCTCCCAGGACTTTTGAGGCAGAAGTGACAGCCCATTGCCTCTCCAATACTGTTTTTCCATTGGGAGGGACAAAGCCCACACTTATGGAGAAGCTTATGGAGAGGAAAATGCCTTGCCAAAGCCCAGGGATATGATATGATATTATCTTTCACAATCCATCTCCATTTCTGCTCACAGGCATTAAGTAGCAAAGCTGAGGTTTAGACTCCCAGCAATATTTACAGCAATACTAGCTATCCTCAATGCACCATGAATACATATGCTGATTAAAAACCTCCTAGATTCCAGACATGTTCTTATTTATTTAAAATATGGTGTTGTCTAGTCATCTATTTTATAAAATTGGTAGAAAAATTCAGTTGTTTGTCTAAACATACCGCTTATATCAAATTTTATTATATTGTTTATCGGAAGTAATGGTTATTAGCTTTGAAGGAGTGAGGAAGGTGTCCTTTATATGAACCTTTCCTTCATTTTATCGGATGTTGTTGCAGTCCATGGGTTTCTAGTGTGATGAAGAAAATGAGTTTTCTAATTTAATCGAATTTATAATACATGGTCCAGATAAAAAGCCCTATTCTAGTATGAGTAAGACACGTTTGTCATGTGGTTTCACACTGAGGGTGTATATTCTTAGCTGGCATTGAAAGCACCCTGCAGATATTAAAGGTGCAAAAAAGGTAGCTCTAAATGAAATGGCACAGTGCATAACCAATGGCGGTGTTCAAGGTCGATTTTCGTCCTTACACCCGGTGAATGCATTGTCGGTTAGAGAACCTTGCAGTACATGTTCTGAACTGTTTTCCAATGAACAAGTAAACATTGCAAAACATGATTTGTGTAGAATTAAATCAAAAAGTCACATTTTGCTTTGCTTTGGGCTAGTCTGATTCATAGTTCAGGTATGAAAGAGGTGTGTACTCTTCTTTTAAAGTTACATTACAGCATTGGAATGGTGTTTCCATATTATGTCTTGGAAACTGGATAAAGATTCAGATTACACTGTTGTATGATAAAACAATTTATTGCAAAAATGCATTTTTTTGTCCAGTTTGAGTGCATAATTGTATGAGTTTGCTAGACTAAAAAATGCTGCTTTTGTGCAGTTGTAAAACTAAAATTATTGGAGTATGATTTACAAGAAAAGATTATTTCAGTTATATTATATTCTTACAATTTGTATGTTTAATTTAATATGTTACTTGGCATGTCTTTGTAACTGTTTGTGAAATTCAGTACAGTCAAATGAACCCTTAGTGTAGTGGATCTCAATCTTCAATGATATTCAGTGCCTACATAATTTTGAAGAATTTCCAAGTAATCTTGAAGCCCCCCAGTGGGCCCCAGCCTGCTGGTTGAAAACCACTGCCCAAGTGTATAGTAGAGATGCAATGATATTCAAATTCTGGCCGATACAATAAGTCTGATAATTATTTTCTTGTACTATTATTTACTTTTTTTCCCCATAGAAATTAATTAGAGATAATTGGCAGATCCCCTGCAGCATTGCCACAGGCCCCCTAAGGGTCACACACCTTCTGTCTCTCTGGTTTTGTGTTTTTGCTCACATGAGGCCCATCTGAATGTTGCACGACTTCCAATTAAAGCAATAGAACAGGATAATGATGTCTGACCTTCAGCTGGCAACAGGGAAGAAGCAATGAGCAATGTTTTTGCTTTGAGAAATGAACTGACATTGAAGCAGTAGAAAAATTGCAACGGTGAGGAGGGAAATAAGTGGATAAATATTAATCCTTTAAGTGAATCAGTAATTATGTTTTGTGTTGTTTTAAGATGTGCTTAAAATGTCAGATATGTAATTGGTTCTATTGTATGTAGGGCTGCAACAACTAATCGATAAAATCGATAATTATCGATTATGAAAATCATCGACAAAGATTTTCATTATCGATTAGTCGGGTCTACCCACAGTGCATGTCCAACTTCAGCCGGTTGCGTCAAATTACAGCACTGAATTACGCAAGTGAACGTGTGTTCCTGCAGAACATTATTCTTACCTATTGGTTACCACTGAGTTTGTGATTTTATTCGTCTTTATCATCTTTATTATTTTAATTTTTAATGCAGAGATTTAAACTATATTCACTATATACAATGCTTAACAAATTTATTAAAGCAAATTTATGTACGTTTTTTAACAAATTATGGTTTGTGCCACTGCTGCTCTAAACTAACAGTACAGTAAAATCATTTTTTAGCTTTCTGTATTGGTTAGTCCTCCAATATGTGTAAGCTCTTTAGTAACAGTAGTAGGCTATTTCTAATGCTATAATATAATTATTGCTGTTATCTATGAAAGAAAGGCAGCGAGCTTTAGTGTTTTTTTCATATACCCAATTACAGTCAAAAAGTACATAAACAATGCCAGCAAGAATGCAAGCTGTTATGAAGGGCATAGGAGGCCATTTTTGTTATGTGAATAAAAATACTATTTAGTTGTTTAAGTTTATTTGCCCAATAAATGACACTAAAATTTTTTGATTTAAACTATTTTTTTACAGATTCCTAAAATTCCTAAAATGTGTTTT